CCGCCCGCCTCCACTCTAGCGCCCGCCGGCCGCTCCGGAACCGTCCGCGCTCAATAAAACCTTCTTCCAAGCGTGTTTGTGCAGTTGTCTGGACCACGGCCGCGTATAACCGGCTCACGTTAAAAAATCTTTGACATCTCTTTTTCTGACTTCAGCGAAAATCCTGCTCCGAGTGCCCTTAGCCCAGTTTCATTCATCCAAGTTGTGGCCTTTTTTGCGCCTTCCGGAAGAAACTTTGCTCCCCCTGCTTTTGATTGCTCTTGAGGTAGGGGATTTCAGGTTTGGAGGGATGATAAGCGATCCTGCAGCCCTTTCACTTCAGGTAATGGTGTGGCCGAGGACAGGGACCCGCGGCCCGGAGGCAGCCCTTCGTTCTCTGTTCTGGGTCAGGTACTCCTCAAGCCGTCGCCGAAATCCCCGTTCTTCCGTGAATTGGGTAACGTAGAGCGTGGTGTATGATTTTATTTTATTTTATTTTATTTTTTTTTAACTCCTCTTGCAGGTATTAAAAACAAAAACAAAAAAACCTATGTTCGAACTTTGGATACATGGCTTCCTACAGCGCCAGAGACTTGGACACATTTTATACTTTGGGTCAATTCTGAAGAAGAGCTGTGTAGGAAGTTTGGTTGAACTTAAGCCTAGGGTCTCGGTTCAAGCGCTGTTGAGAAACTAACAATCACAGAGCATTGGAAAATCCCTACTTTTTTGTACATTGTGTCGTGGGAGAGGACACCAGTGCCTCTTGATCAGGTTTGGGAGTCTGGTCTGGTATACCACTGTGTCCTCAAGCTTGTTCTCCTCTAATTTAGGAGAAGACTGCATTGTTTAGCCTCCTGAGTATTACCCCCAGCTTGGCCCTTCTCTATGTTAGGACACTGCTTAGAAAGAATAGGAACAATGAAGAGAAGTAGAGCACGTTACGAAAAAGGAAACATTTTAAATTATGTGGTAATTGTTTAAGCCCTCCCTTTAACTTACGCTTTTTAGGAGATACCAGAATCTGGGAAATGCAGGTTTTGAAATTTCTTTTGTTTCACCTTGTTTTAGGGATGAAACAGGTATCATTGAAGAGTCAGTGTATCCATGAACCTTTGAAATGAAGACTCTGAACTCTTCCTTGTGTTTAGCATAGCTGCCAAGTACTGTACATTTGTTAACAAGGCTTTAAGTGTATTAGTTACATGTATTTCCACTATGTTTCTTGTTTTTGTTTTTTTATCCTGTTACAAGTAGGATTCACAGACTTTGGTGTGGAGCGTATACTTTTTACTCGAATTAAGATAAGCCACAGAAATGCAGTTTGGTTAAAATAATAATTCAATTTATCTTCCTTGAAATCCTGGCAAGAGGGCAGGGGGTAAAAAGAAACCTTTACAGATAATCAAGGTGAAATCCTCCCTGGAGGCAGAGGCCTCCATGGCTGCAGATAGGACATTGTAACAACGATGAAGTTGTGTTGAAGAGCCCCTTGATCTAAATAAAGTAAGACTAAACAACAAATAAACTTTTTTTTTAACTTATTGTTGACAAAGCTTGTTTTTGAGTAGGTTGTCAATGTGTAACAATCACAAAGACTTGGTTCTGAATAGTTTTGGTTGCTTTCGATTTAGGAAAATTGGATTCTAAAGTAAGATCAATACTTTAGGGAAAATGAATGAAAAATGCCACCATGAGCTTTGGCAGGCGCTAGGGAAGCCTCTCCTTTCTAATATGCGGCGGTTTGTAGCTCTGCTGCAGATTGCCTGTTGTAGGTAACTCCTCAATTTCAAGTCACATATTTATATTTTTAGGTTCTAAAATGTGTACCTCTTAAAGTTTACCCCTTTAAGGGCTTATTGTCCTTCTCCTCCTCTCCCAAATCATTTATGTATCTTGGAATTGAGGAAATACACTATGTTAGACAGCTTTAGAACAGACATTGAGAAATTGAGAGATGGTAGTTTTTGCAGCCTTTTCTTGGATTTCCGGAAAGGTTTTCCTGTCTGTTTTTTTCCTGTGATACTCTATAAGCCTGAAGAGCATTTCTAGTCTCTTTAAAGTGTATTATTTCCCCTTCCCTACTGTTTTATTTTATTTGACTCCAAGCTTGATTCTTTAACATTGAGCATACAAGAGTATTAAAGTTTAAGATGCAGATGCTGTTGTGAGGCTCTCACAGCGTTTCTTGTGTTGGAGACCCACTGTGTTGTACCAGCGTCTCGTGTGGGAGTCCCCATTGAAAGACTTCAGGGTGTAGTATGTAGAATGAGTCCTTATTGAACGATACAGTTGTGCGTTAGTCACTTAGAAGTTCCAGTGCTATTTCTTTCTCGGTTTACAACTGGGAGGCAATTATAATGGATCTCTGCTTTTGTTGCACTTTCAAGTTTGTGCCCTTATGAGTGTAGATATCAATCCTCCCAAGAAGTTTATTTGCAGGTGCCATTTAGCTTGACTTCTACTGTAATGTGTGTATATACAGCTGTCTTATTTTGGTATTCCCCCTTCTTGTAATTTAGCATGAAAAGTAGGTAAAAGTGAGGTTAAATTCTAAAAATTGATGCAGTGAAGTAGTGGATGTTGCAAAATTAGGCCTTTAAAGTTGATGACTAAAGCCATTTGAAAAGGTGGTTGCTTAGACCAGTCTTAGACCATTTATAGAAGAGTCTCCAGAATAAAAAGATTTTGGAAGTCTTGTGCCTGTATCAGAAGAGTTTTTTTTCACTCTGGCAAACACAGTATTCAATGCTGTAGTATGGAAGGACATAGGCTACAGAGGAGAGACCACAAGCTGCAGGTTCCAGGCGGCGTCAATTCAGCGTTGGGTAGATCTTTCCTAACAGCTGAAAACGAAGCCAGTTTCATGTGAGAGGGCGAGTTTTCTCTCCACCTCCTGACCTCTTGCAATGAGAATGTTCTGGTAGATAGAGGAGGGGTAGATTGAGGGGTGGGATCTGACACTGATTACTGAGGTTCCTTCTCTCCAGAGTCTGAGAAATGGCTTATAGTCCATTGATTTCACTCTGAAGTTAGATTTGAAAGATTGATACTTAGTTCATCAAGGTAGAAGATAGAACTGAATTGCCAGTTTATGAATTTTAAAGCCACATACTGTGTTGAGAAGCCTAGAAAAAGCTGTGTAAACGTTGTAGAAAATTTTTACGTTTGGGATGGGATCAGGAAGAGGAATTTTGAGGATAAAAAAAGATTTATGCAGAACATTTATATTCTTTGGTTACTGACTTTAGGAGCACTTTAATTATCATGTCTTATTATGTTTGCCCAGAGGATGATCACAGTTGGCATATTTAGAGTTGTGAAAGCCCTGGGAAGATATTTTTTCCTGAAATCTTCTCATTGTTACTCAGGAATTTTTACATGAAGAATTAAAGGTTAATGATGTAAATGATAGTTTCATTCTAAGTGAATGCAGGTGTATAAAATAAAATACCATTTATATATCTTGTATATATTTTTGTAATAGAAATAAAAGTAGCTACTTTTCACATCTTAAATTCTTTCTCATTAAAACAGATTTCACAAGTTATTTTACTTTCAGTATCTCTAATTATTAATTTCATTGAAAATCATATTTTTAATTCTAATTCATTGAAATAGTTTTTTGTAAGTAAAGAGTTTTATGATGTACTGAGCTTAATTTATGAGTTGGGTTTTATACGTTTAGAAATACAAGTGTAGTTCTAGTTCCTAAAAACATACAAAGCAGTAGGTTTTCTGATTATGCAGTGAAGAGTCTTTTCTGTTTCTTCTGAGTCAAGCCATTTTGATTAGATAAACTGGCAATAGTTGTGTATTCTAGAGTTGTATCCAAGTTTACAATCTTGTGGAAGAAATACCTAAAAAATGTTTGCATTTTAGATACTCTTCGGAGGCACAGAGTGCTAATGAACTCAGGTATGGGACTGGCCACCCTTAGGTGATGTAGCTTGGCTTGCTTGGCAACATTCGATAACTAGGAACCGGTGATATTTCTGTTCAGGTGGTGGCAGAGAAAAGTTCAAATGGAGATGTCTTTGTTCTAGCTGTCAGCTGGCTAAGTTAGTCTTTTTTTCCCTTCTCATGGGCCCTCCCTTAACAGCTTAGCTTGTATCTTTAATAGTCACCCTTTGTGTTTTGTCTGCTTGAAATCAGGCAACTTAAAATAGTTATCCTGAAATGAAAGACTTGAGCCTTGTTGTACTTTCACTTGGTACTAAAGTTTTCTTGGGTTACAGCTTATTGCCGCAGCAAGTGGTTGAAGAAGGAGTCCTGTTCCTGCCCCTGAGCTACAGCTAAGGTACCAGGAGTGGCTTGGGGGTAAGGAGTCCTTCCTTACCAGACATGGTTTGTATGTATGAAGACTGCTTGTCAGAAGTTTGACATTCTGCACTAAATATTTTTTCCTGTTAATCGTAACTCACACATTCAAAACAGTGTTTATTGATTTTTAAAATCTAGATGTTTCATATGCAGATTGATATTGAATCTTCTCACCTTTAGATTATAAAATAATTTAAAACAGAACTAAGAGTTTGAAAGCAATTAGGGAATTCTAAAGTAATGTTTTTCATCTAGTGCCTTCATTGTATTTATAGTACAGGTAGAATTTATCTGTTCAAAATAAGGTATACATCTTTTTAGTGGAAAGCAATTCTTTTATTTATTGTTATTTTACTGAAGTACAGTCAATTACAATGTGTCAGTCTCTGGTGTACAGCACAATGTCACAGTCATGCATATACATACATATATTTGTTTTCATATTTTTTAGTGGAAGGCAGTTCTAAACCAACAGGGATT